TTTCGTCTTTCACAGATTTTGGGTTTCGTATTTCACCATTTATAAAAATGGTTTCGACTAATAATTATGATTTAGAAGAAAATGAAGAAAAAAATGATAATAATTCGCCAAATGCTGATAACATAAATGATGATAATAAAATTAAAAAAGATTTAACAAAAGAACGAATTAAGATAGTTTTAAACGAAAAAGATTTAATAGAATCGTTCGTTAAAGGATCAGGAAACGGTGGACAAAAAATTAACAAAACATCGAATTGTGTTGATTTGAGACATGTTCCGACTGGAGTTAGAGTCGTGGTAATTACATTGAATTGTCTAATATTTACAAATTCTTTTTTTTTTTGTTAAAATCCCGACTTTTTGATCAAAGTGCCAGCAAACACGGTCATTGCAACAAAATAGATCGATAGCTAGAAAGATAATGATCGAAAAGTTAGATGATTATCATAACGGGGATCAAAGTAAGTCGGCTATTAAAAGAGAGATTGCTAGAAAAAAGGTTGCAAAGAGGAGGAAAAGAGCCAAAGAGAAATATGGAATTATGAAAAATAAAGAAATATCGATTGAATAATTTGTAAAAAGAAACTTAGTTGTATCATCATTTTAACTTATCAAGTTTTAACTTTTCAAGTCTTGAATCGTTGCTTTTTATAATCTAATCGTAATACTGCAAAAAAAAATAAAATGTCATAAGAGTCGGTGACTTTAATAATATTTTGTTATAACTACAAAAGCCTAGTTAACTCTTATTTTTTTTTTCAGACAGTATTTATTAATGCGATTTTCATAGAGTTCCATTAAAACTCTTAATACATTATATATCATACTTGTCCATATTAATTAAAAAGATAACAAAGACCCTTTTTTTGATGAAGATGTCGATTTATCAGGTGATAAGTTTTATGGGATTATATATAGATTATACGAATATATTATATAAAATTCACGTGATTCAACTAATAAGCATGGTTTTGTTTTAATAATACATGTAAACAGGCAGGTTATTTATTAAATATATATTTTTTAACACATCTCCACTTTAGTGTATATTACATCTCTCAAGT